TGGATCCGGCATTAGATTAAAAAAAAAAAATCACAAGTATTAAGGATTCACTTGATTTAAATATTACCAATTAAAGAAAAAATTTGAGTAGCCCACCCCCCTAGAAAAAAGTCTAAATACGCCCCTATTCTATCAGTTAGCAAAATCTCACTACACAAATGTTCCTTTAGTCTTAGCTCATATCATCCTCACTCTTTAATAAAATAACTTTCTTCAGAATTACTCTATAGAAACCGCACCCAGAAGACTCAAAATAAATTTGATCAGAGATATTTGTCTTCCTACTAGGTATTGTAATCCTACTCCAATGATTACACGATCGGGTGGCTCAGCTGAGAGTGCATTCCCCGTAAACGTTGCTCGTGTCACAAATTAAATTCGTCTAATTAACTAGACGTAGTTACTCACCTTTTGCATGGATTGAGCAATAAAAAAATGAAAAAAAAAACCTTCAGGCTCAAGCGTCTCCACTCCGCAGTTGTGAGTACAATAACATTACACGCATCAAAACGTGTATCGAGCGATCATAACGCAATAATTAATTTATCAATTATATCAATCATTCCCGTGCACGAAATCATCTATTCCCAATTAACGGGTCGAAGGTCTGACGGATGATCGTACAACACGACGTCGTAATAAAGTTAATTGTTCGATTATCGGATAAGTGTACGGCCGCGCACCACGCAAGTCTACTCAGTCACAGTTACACTAACCAATACGTTGCACGTGGTGCGAGCGCAACGGGTCGTTTTTTATTTTTTAACTTTTCGCCGCATTATGTTTTGATATCCAATGGGCGGCAATCGAATCGAACGATTAACTGGTTGTCGATTGGCCTTGGATCCCGTGTACTTGTTTTTTTTTTTTTTTGGACAATGACGTGGAGCGTGATCGCAGTATTCATCGCAGAAATTAAGCGATAACTAGAATTAGGGTATAGGAGTTAGGGTTAGAGTATGTTGATGAATTTTGCAATTTTTTTCCTTTGATTCTATACAGATATATCTTAGCAAAACATTTGTTTCATATTCCCTTGATACAGAGTATTCTAATTTTAGATTTTAAAGAAAATTTGTACATTTGTGTAAAATTAATTTTAATATTATTATTGTGGAACATATTTTTAATATAATTTTTTATTTATTTTATATAATGCTTAAAAAATGTTAATGTATACTATTGTTTAATTAATATTATAATTCATTACCCATTTTCACACACCTATATCTCTAATAAAAATTATTATTTATAAATACATTTTTGTGTTTTTTAGGTCATCAACATAGTGATAACATTTACATGTGCGATATTGTTAAACAACATACAAATTATCATCCTTATGTATTAGTAATCACAATTTATTTTTACAATAACAAAGTTTAGAAAAAAGATGTACCTAACACTATGTTTAGACGGCATATTATATTTAATAAAAATAAATAAATAAATAAACATACCTTTACACAGCTGCGTAATATTTGACACAGCAAGAAAACGCATGAGAGGGCTTACTGCGGTCAGTTACTTATTTTTCACACAGAGCCTATGACACCGTTTTATTCTAAAAAACATCACTATTCATTTATAACGCCCAATTCGATATTTAAATGCACCAACATTGGTGGTAGACCAGGTAGCACTTAAAATAAGTATATTTCATACGTATTTTTTGTTTTCTTTTTATCTATTCTTCATTACTTTTACGTTATAAAATCAGTGAGGTTTCTATAGAACAGGCAACTCAAAATATATTGAATAGTTTATTACGTGGGCTGCATTTAAACATATTTTATATTTACATACTAAACCATCAATAAAATTCATTTAATTAGTTTATAAGAATATTAGGCATATAAATGTATACCAAATATACCATTCTTTAAGAATCTAAGTTAGTTACAGCAAAAATTTAATATTTTATAATTTTTTTTACTATTATTTTTACATTTATTCTGTCCATTAATATTGGTATTCGCGGACCACAAAAAAATTAGCTGCAGGCCACGTGTTTAACATGCCTGTTATAGAGTATACCAGTGGCTTATTTTCGGGAGGGGGGGTCCCTAACAATTTATATCTCGATATTTAAAATCCATTCCCATTTAATAGTTTTATTTTTCGTAAAATTCAATGAATAGCATACGAACTTAAGAACTTTAAAATTATCAAAATACATAATTTAAAGATTATGTTTATACGTTTTTCTAACCTTTTTGGAACTATCAGTTTTTAAAACAACCTAAAACTCTGTTAAAAAATGAATGAAAATAAAATATATGTAATGTAGCATAAAAAGTTTCAGTCTTGCATTCAAGATACACAGATGAACAACCTGAGCTCACTACTATGTAAGACAATGTTTGATATCTAAATATAAAATTAATTTCTTTACAATAATTCAGATTTTAAGTGAAATTTAAAATAATCCTACATATATGATTTTAAATTACTTATTTTTAGGGGAAAATAATGAGGTGTTACTATTTTGTAACTCATGTGTAATGAGACACCATTTGATATAACAGTGGTAAATGTTAATAAAATATTAAAATGATTATAAGGGCCAAAAGGTAATTTTTGTTAGTATATAGATAGACAACAAATAAAACAAAAAACACACTTCTTGATATTAATTAGTTTACTTGACAGTAACACTTCTTGACAAGTATAATATAATCGATAATAATAATAATAATAATAATAATAATAATAAAAAAAAAAACCTCTTGCACATTTTCCGAAATTATCTTTTACAAAATATACATTTAAGGCTAATTATTGTTTTAGTTTTTGTTTTCTTTTAATCAAAAAAGAAGATATTAACTGCAGAAATCAACACTCAAAAATCTGCCAACTGGCTAAACAAACGCATACAAATTTAAACTAAAACATGTGCCTAAGTAAATGTTTATTAAAAATAAAAAATAAAAAAAAAACATTGTGTAAAACCTGAACATTAAATAATATGGTAACAATATCATTATGCGAAATTTTATTCTTAGAAAATATTGTTTTATATATCTGAATATTGTCTCGTACTTATTGTTGCAAACAGTTACACAGAAAAAATTTATTTACATATCAATCGGTTTATTTTTAAGAGAAACTGAAATGTAAAAGAAAAATATATATTATATTTTACTTAGTCGTATCTATCACAAAACGAGTTTTGCTGTCAACCAACAAATTTATCGTTAAAAAAAAAAAATAATAATAAAAATAAACAAAATGTATTAAATTATTTACAAACGTTTCATACATAAATTAAATATTAGTCTACATTTGTTGTTTTGAAATTTTTAAATGTATTTTCATAGGGTTGTTTTTTCAAACAGAACAATAAAGTTGTGTCATCTTGATAAATTGATTTGGGGAAAAGGGGGCGCAAATTATGCGAAACAATAACATTTTTATTTTTTCTATTTAACAATTAAAAAAAATAATCATAATAATAAATGAAAAACTATTTTCAACTCGCATAAAGAAAGTGAATAAAGATTTGTTTCCACAAAAAAAAAAAAAAGAAAAAAAAAATATAATATTAAACAGTATTTGAATATAATATACCAAGAATATTTCAGTTACAAAACATAATTTATTTGTGATATAAAAACAATGACGAGGAAAAAAAAACATGTAACTTGTAGTTATATACAAATAATTAGTCAAAAACTGGTAAAAAAAATTTCATTGTCCTTAACACGCGCGTATAATATAGTACAAGTAAACCAGGATAGAAATTAATTTTAATAATAATAATTAGAAAAAAAAAAGAATAATATATAATTCACAAGATGGAAATTATACGCGGTATTCATGTTGCGCTTATTCCTCTTATAATACCAAATGGGTAATTTTATGACTTTGTACAGAATATTTAATTTTTTTTCCTAAACCTTAAATTAATTAATATATTAAAAAAAAAAAACTATCTTGACACTTGATACATCAGTCGTTACTTAAAGTTTTGTGTTTGTGTAATTTAATAGGGATAGGGGGGGGTGTTGCATCGAGTATTATTTACATGGATTGGGTAGGGGACTTCTAGGGATACAACTTAGATGAGGGAATCACGAGGGAGGAGACTAGTTAGGCGAACATTGCGGTTACTGGCCTGAGGTAGAGGAGATTACGGGTGATTGGAGATGGGCGAGATGGTTGTCTGACAAGAGTTGGGAATATGACAGATTAGTAGGGCAGGAATCGGATCGACGTTTGAGATCTGTTGATCATATTTTCAGCGCATCTGTTAGACCTGTTATCTTCTGTCCCGGTATATTAAGTAAATACGTAAAGACTGCGGCAGATCTAAGGTCATGATGCGGTCTTCTATGTTTGGTTTACCAATTCTTTGCCTAATGACTCTTCTACATAGGTCCATCAGCGGTAATGGTTCAGCTAAAAAGATAATAGTATTTAATTAACTATGAATTTCTGATGATATTTTTAAAATAATAAACAGTTGAATACTTACGATCTAATCCGCCAATGTATTTCATAGTAATTTCACAATGCCCCCAGACAGCACTGACAATTGGGAATAATTTCCGCCCCTTAAGGCCTCTAAACGCTACACCCAAATACTGGCCATCTACAACGAAGGATAGAGTACCCTCATCCATGTCCAAAACAACTGTAAATAAAATAAGATAGTTAGCAAGTAATGGTGATAAAATGGCAATGTAGCATGCATACATATGCTACAGATGTAATTAGACGCATACCTAAAAATTTATCTGGCACTATAAATGTTTCATCTGGCTTGAGCAAGGCCGGATAAGTAATGCCATCATAGCTTTTTGAATCGTGGTATAATTTGTTACGCCCTAAATCCCAGCCCCATGACTGGTCATTGCTTCCCACTAAACTCTGGTAACCGACCGAATGTAGAGGTGCATCTTGTGTGGCAACTCCGACCACTGCATGCGTACCGCGTTGCCTGGTCGACCAGTTTACTTCCCACATATGCAGACCTTTGGTTAATCCAGTCTTGCCTCTAATGCAGTCCGTACTTTGTGCTACAGGATGCCTATGGAATGTCAATTTATCTTCTTCCTAAACAACAAAAAAAACCATGGGTTATAATATATTTAGACACAATTAAAATTAAATTATTTTATGAATTTGGCACAATTTATTACCTTAACAAATATATTTAAAGACCTATCGTCCGCGTTCCATGCATGTTTGATCTGCGTTTCTCTGGAAACTGGCGGCATATCTAATAATATATCTAATCTGGCCGGACGGGCAAAATCCTGGGCCAACTCTCTAGGTACTACAGGTTTGTATGGTTGCGCACTTTCGCGACTAACAGTTTTAACTCCACCTGAAACACATAATGATCAATTAACAATTTATTTTTTTGGTTTATAGTTGGGTATGAGAAGTAAAGACTAGCGCGCGAGATAATTTAAGTAAAGACCATTCAATGATCCACAAAAAAATAAAAAAAAGATTCCTTTTTAAGGGGGTTTTACTTACTTTTACTCGTCAACATGTTACCACTATCACAGATCGATACCACACTCAGCTCTTTATTTAAAGATACTGTTCTATTAGTCATAGTATTATATTATACAAAAATTGCAATACTACAATCATATAATTTGAAACGAAAACAATAATATAAACACTATTATTTTTTTAACAAATCTATGAAAAATTGAATTCAAAAGAATTACAACTATACTATATGAAAATCTTTTATATTGAATAAAATAGTCGTGGTTGATAATTTTAACACTTTATCGTGGGTTATTCAACGCCTGGCGCAGAACTAATGGGTGCGAGTACAAGTGATGATGGAGATTTAAACGTTGACTGATATGCTGGAGATAAGAAAACGTGTTTTTCGATACTAATCCAATAGCTCAATAGGACGCCCAACTTTAAACCTATGTATATTTATAGAAATTTAGACAACAATAAATAATATTTTACATCTGAGTGTAATGTTATCGAATCCACTTCGTTGAAAACACTGAATGTCCGACAAAACGACGGTACAAACTACACACACACACACACACACACACACACACACACACACACACACAC